CCATCCTGAGACGGGCAGCGTCTTCTCTTCCAATAGAGCCGCTGCCGTCGGTTGAATTTTGCGATAGATCAGGAAACTGCTCACACCACACAGCAGCATACCTGTTATCGGAAGGGCGATAATGTAGATGTCATCCACATCCTCAACGGACAGTGTTGACAGGCACACCATTCTCCGCTTCCTCCAAGGATCTAGGGTGTACCCAGCAGCAAAAGTCCCCGAGGGGCAAGTAGGCTTCCCACTGCCTGCTCTTCTCATCGAGAAAATTTTGTCGGTGGCATCGAGAGACTAGCCAACCAATTCCATGTTTGTTTTTAGGATGAAAATACGACAGGAGGCTAGGAAAAGTCAGACAAAGACAGCACACGGACTGAGTGGCGAACAGGGAAGGGTGGGGGTGGGGTGGGGGGACAGGAGCAGAAAGCAAAAGCGTCCGCCTTCGTCGAGAGGCAAGCAAGAAGTGAGAGCCAAGCAAGAAGTTCCCTTGCCCTCGCTTTCTCATGATGGGCTGACAGGGGCTTCTTCCTAGTGTCCATGTTCGTCATGGTGCGAATTGAGTCCCACAACCTCTTTGTGTTTGAATCAGACAGGGCTTGCTCTGCCCGCTCTTTTTGTTTTGACTGTGCTGCTCTTAGTTGCCGGTTGAGATCTTTCTGGGTCAACCTCAGCCCCGCGGTATCACCGAGCCTATGGGATGTTTTCTTCCTCTTTATGCACTCAATAACTTCCTTCGTGATATGCGGTTTATTGTTTGCATATATTTTTACCGTTTTTTGAGGGATAATGTGCATGCAGAAGGAGACATAATCTGTTATTACTTCTGCAGCCTCATGAACATGCGTGTCTTGGAAAAAGACACTCCAGTCTGTGCAGAGATAGCTTCCCTTGAGCTCCTCTACTTTGTCATTCGACCACACATTCACAGTTTTGATTTCTGGCTTGCTAGACTTAAAAGTTGACCTGTAGATGGGAAGTAGGAATACAGTAAACATTCTCTCGTACGGACTCGTGTTTGCGCTGTCCAATCTGTCCTGATAACAGAAATTCCTCATTTGGGAAATGAGCATGGTACATGTCCTTTGTGAACCTGCAAGTATGTTGACAAAATGCACGTGTAACAACACAATCAATAAAATACAAAAATATACTGTCCAAAAACTGTTTATATAACAAAAACTGCAATACAGGTGTCTCCAAAAAAAACCACAACAGTACAATACGTACAGTATTTTAATGTTTATTTTTTTCTGTCTTGGGAAAAAATGTGTCTATTTTGGATTGTTTTGTTGGATGCATTCTTTGGTTTATGACAATGTTTGCCTGCGTGTCATACAGTTTTCTTGCTGGTTGCAAGTAACTGTCCCGTTGATCACCGATGTCTGGTGATTGTTGTGCATACTGAAGGATTTTTGTTGCCATTTGCATTGCTTCCTTGCTGGATGGTGGCTTGCCATCAGGAGTTGAATCGATGCCTTGTTTTTTAAAGTTTCGTAGATTTGCATCTTTCCGACTCCAAGTGTCTCCTGGATGCTTTTTACTTTGCGTCCAGCCTTGCTCAAACGGATGCATTTCACTCGCTCCGCTACAGTCATTACAGTTCTTCTACGTTTCGATGCCATGATCTACAGGACGCAAGTGAATAAAGTTAAAATCTTCCGCAATTACAGTAAAACGCATGCCAATAAGAAGTCACTTACATGTCATCGTTTCGAATCTGATGAATGAAAACGGCAACGCCAACACGTTTCTTCTGTCGTGTCGAGTGGGCACTGCTTTTTAAGCTAGTGTCGCAATCTACGGGACGTAAGTGAATAAAGTTAAAATCATTCACAATTACAATAAAACGCACGCCAATAAAAAGTCACTTACACATCGTCGTTTCGGATCTGATGAATGAAAACGGCAAAGCGAACACGTTTCTTCCGTCATGTCAAGTGTGCACTGCTTTTTAAGCTAGTGCCGCGATCTACGGGACTTAAGTGAATAAATTTTAAATCTTTCGCAATTAGAGTAAAACGCACACCAATAAAAAGTCACTTAGACGTCGTCGTTTCGGATCTGATGATAGAAAAAGGCGAAGTGAAAACGTGTCTTCCGTCGTGTCTTCCCGTCGCATCGGGTGGGCGTTGCGTGTTGTTGGAAGGCACGTTGTTTCATGGTACGAGTGATGGTACGATTGGAAAAGTTAAATATGAGACTGACCTAAAAATCAGACTCAAATTCAGCCTAAGGATGTATTATCCAATTTGGCCACAAGATGACGTCCAACAAATTGTCTACTCAGTTCTCGCCAGCTCGCAACAGGTCCCGTTACAGCGTATCGTATATAAATCAAATATGGTTAAATCGAACATACCAAAGCCAATGCCTTTAAAATATGCCTTAAACAAATGGTTAACAAAGGGTAATGCATAAGATGTGCTTTACAACTGGATCATACAGTTTTACAGAATTACTGTTAACTGTTGTTTTATGATTTTTATTTTTCTTTCTTCTTTTTGAATGTTGTAATGAAATTACAACATGGTATTATTCATTTAATTTAAAATAGTTGTGTGCTGTGACAAATGCTTTGAAACTGCTTGGTGTAAACATTATTGCCGGAGAGCGTTATTTACTCCCAAATGATGCCTCCTGATGGAAAACCAGACAAGATCAAAAACCTGTTGATTGCATGGGAGATAATGTATCAATATGAATTGTGAAAACATGATATCCTTTTTAAGCTGCATAGATGTGATTTTGATATGTGATTTTAATTCAAGTATGTGCATGATGTCTATCATCGATTTGAGGAAAGATTGCAAGTTAAAGCGCCAGAGATAAACCGGAAAGTACTGAATTAAAATAGAACAACTGTGAGGGTGTGATAGAACGCCTCAGTGCACAGCAGTGGAAAATTCTGATCAGCTAGAAAGTGAAAGTAGCCGCCTCGCCCCTTGGAGGGAAAAACAGCTGTGAACAGAAAAACATCATTTGCATCACTCGGACCAGCTGTAGGTTGACGTAACCAAAAGTAGCCTCTTCTGAGCTATAAAAACCTCGATCCGGGGGTGAGCGAGCGGACTCGTCAGGGCGGAGCCCTGTTCCCCCAGACCAACAATTTCCGGTACCAGACGAAAATAGGATCACAAAGATGACTCCTTATCGAGAAATTCAATATTACATTCAACTGGCAGAACTTGAATACAGGTATTGGGGTGGCTTTTCTCTAATACTCTGTTTTATTCCAACTAACCTCAGTTATTATGAAGCCGTTGTGTCTGTAAGGAGACGTAGACAATATACTACTATTGCGTGTTGGAAGAAACACACCAATCGTATGTATTACGGTAAATGTCTCTAACCCAAAATTGTTGGCAGGATAATGTAAAAATAGGAAGTATAGAAATGGTACTAAAATATTATAAAAATTAATAAGTAAATCACGGGGCGCTTAAGACTTGATCAATCTTGACTCCCTCAATGATGATAGACAAGTACTTCATTCATTTTTATTCTTATAATCATTTTTACTCATTTATTCGTTTTTAATCTTTTATACCTTACTCTCCTTTTATTCTCATTATAATCACTGTAAGTTGTGACATTATTCTCATTTGATTTTCAGCTGAAAAATACCATTTTAACAATGTTTTTGTCGTTGACGATAGTATTCTGCGTCTTGCGGTTACAATGGTTGATTAATGCATTTCTTACTATAATTGTCATATTAATAAATGTGTCAAAATTCATTATATAGTCTACCGCAGTTGTTTTTATGATTTAATTCATATCACCAATCCACCTTCATCGATGAATGAAAGGTTGCGTGCTCGCTAAAACAGGGCCACGTGATCCGTCTCGTAAAATGAATAATTAATTAAAATAGTTGACTCCGGCGTAACGAATAATAGAAACAAATCTGAACGATCCCGACCAGGATTGTTAAATTAATTCTAGGTCTTTACCAATTGTGACAGAAGAAAAAAATCGAAGGAGAGCCGTGGTTAAAGCGAAGCGGTCACTTATTAACCTTTAATTCTCGGTTACTTATTAGAGTTAAAAATAAGTGAATGCGGATTCGGGTTGGCTTCGTGAATTCAAAGGCAGTCAGGAACCTAGCCGCATCTCTTTCGTAATCGACTCGGATGAAATAAAAGAACCTCCATATCCCCAGCCGTCCCGCGTTACTGTGAGGAGGGGGTGAGCCGTAATCGGGGGGGTTTGGGCCCGTTAGTAAGGGGAGTCGATCAGGACTGTTCCCCGATACGGTCCTGCGGATAATCAGTTCTGACAGTGTATTTAAACTGCCGCGGCCTTCCGTCTCCATTCGGGTTACGGCTACTAGAATTTCCACTTACGTAAGTTCCGACAACATGTAATATCGTCGTCAAAATGTTAATGCATAGGTTTTTATTCTGGGTGAAGGAAATTCCTTTTCATAGAATTCCGGGGATGGGAATGTTTACTGTAAAGCCTTATGGTCTGAGCTTCCAAGAGGAGGCAGGGCTCAAGCAGTATCGGCATCCTTAATGTTTCCATCGCATTTATCAAGGATATTGTTATTTCTCGTGCCACATTTAACATACTGATAAAAGCCAGGCAGTGATTTGTCCAGATTACAATGATTTACGTCCCCGAGGATGAACATGGGGGCCTCCGGTTTGTCTCGTAAGTGCTGGTGGATACAGTCCGTGATCTGTCTCGCTGCCTTCACCGCATTTCCGTTTGGTGGCACATACACGACACACACAAATATGTTGGTGAACTCCCTCAGGAGGTAGTGTGGTCACAGGGATATGCACAGCAGCTCCAGATCGGGGTTGCAGAATCTGTCTTTTGTGGCAAAATTCCGACACCAGCTGTCGCAAAGGTAGACACAGAGACTGCCCCCTCTCGTTTTCCCGGAAGAGTCATCTCGATCTGCGCGTATGTGAGTGAACCCGTCCATTTGGATGAGATTGTCCGGGACATCTGCGTGAAACCAGGTCTCGGTAAACACCAGCAAGCCGGACTCACGATATTCGAAGCTTGCTCTTGCCTGGGTGCGCAACTCGTCCAGTTTGTTCTTGAGCGATGTACTATGGTTCAACCTAAAACCAGACCGTTATTTCTCAAAAATATTACTTGTATATAACAAAAATAATAATAATTGGAGAAGCTAGTTTCTCTAAAATCTTACCTAAAAGCGGTAAGTTGGATACAGTTCTGTAATTATTAAAAACATTGGGGTCCAAGCTGCTCTTCGTCAGAAGGGGCTTCACCACCGCCGTTTTAAAAGCGGCAGGCAATACACCCATCTGAAGAGAGCAATTGACGATACAGTGATCCCTCGCTACTACGCGGTTCATCTTCCGCAGCTTCGCTGTTTCACGGATTTTTTGAGTGCAGTTTTTTTTTAATGCTTTTAAACAGTGAATTGCGTTCTGCATCCTTATTAGCAAAGGCACTGACCAATGTGAAGTCTCTGCACCTCATCTATGTACAGTACTGTACATACATACATAACCCACAATGTCGACGAAAGGTTCTGCAAAGGCACCTGAGGCGCGTCCAAAAGGAAGTGAAAGATGCTAAATATCGCAGAAAAAGTTAAACTTCTGGATATGCTGAAGGAAGGTAGAAGCTATGTGGCTGTCGGGCGCCATTACGGAATGAATCTTCGGTTCGTTCCATAAAGGAGAAGGAAAATAACATGAGGACAGCAGCAATAAGTTTTAACAAGGATGCAAAAAGGGTTGAAACTGTCCGCAACAAGACCATTGTAAGAATGGAGTCTGCTGTAGCTTTGTGGATTAACGACCGCAGGAAAAAGAACATTACGCTGGATACCAACGTTATCTGCACGAAAGCTAAAAACCTTGATGAAACCTTTGCTGACAGCGATGACATTCATGACAGCGAAGAAGAGGAGGATTTCGGGCCATTGATTATGAACGCTACCCGTGGCTCACAGCCTCTGTGAAATGCTGCAAATTGTACTGCTGGGAATGCCTATTGCTTGCAACTGACCGATTTGGTGTTTGGAGCCACACTGGATTGTTTTACGACTGGGCACTTACAAGCTACGGTGCGTTTAAAAACGTTTGGGGACACTCGCGTCGATCTGCACCTCAGTGAACAGGCACTACATTGGTGAGTAAATGAATTTTATTTTACGTTTCTTCTTGTCATTTATTTCGTTAATATTAAATTCATGGTAACGAAATAAAATGACTAAGATACAAAAATATATCAAATAAATCTGCTCACCTGCAATTTATAATGACACATTGTCGTCACCTTCGTGCACGAATGTTCGTTCAATCTCAGCTGCTCAACATTTTCAGTTATTTGCTGTTGTATCGCCAATTTTCAGAATAGTTTGTTTTGTTATTGTTTGGTTGGTGTCTTGTATGAAACCGCGACATTGCGCAATTTATTGGACAGACTTGTTTAAGATCACACAGCGTAATTTGGGTGGCATTTTATTTCGTATTTTTAAATCATCTTTTTATTTTTGACAATATCTGTAAATTTAGTTTCCTGCTCTTAATTGGGAATACATACTTGATGGTTTTAAATGCTCCTGAAATTAAGTGCTGCTTGACGAGCCTATACTGTGTATGTATGTGACGTCACTAAAGGCCGAAGGTTGAAATGCACGGCCCGCCACTGCTTATTAGTAAGACGATGACAAAAATAAATAAGTAAAACAAAGACTGTCTTGTGGGTTCATGTTATGCACATTTTTCAATATATTTCATTGTAACCATTTGCACATTTTAATGTTCTTTCATTGAACCACAGGTTGAACTGTGCTTAAGGTTGCAGTGGCTTACAACACTAAATCCATGTGTATTTTAAGAATAAAACCTTTGCTAAAACATTTTACGAAACTAACTTGTCTAAGCAGGTAGTATCCCTCCATGTGCGATGTAGTTTTGCAGTCCTAATTACTACAATGATAAAGTTATTACACGGTAATACCAACAACAATTTCCGAAAACTACAGCAAAGGGCTTTTTCATAAAATAAGAGTTGGAATATAAGGAACACTCCTTATATTCCCAATTGTCAAATCTTGCTTACCTCAGGGGCTAAAATAGCCCCTGACCGACTCTCCGTTTCATAGGGTTAAAACCTCCCGTGTCCCTACTCCACAGTCACTTGAACTTGGTAGAGGACAAAGGTTTCTGAAGCCAGTGACTGAAAAGGACACGGCCAAGTACTCACTGCCTTTATGCTTGAGCGCTATTGCCGGTTTACCTCAGTTAATTTCTCAATTGAACAACCTTTAGCAGAAATAACATATCGATCAGATCACACTGTTTTCAAAGCAGCTCCTTTTGCCAAATGATTTGGTGTATTTATTCAGACCTGGGTAAATTTAGCTATCATTGATATGATTGCAAGGACTCATTTCACTTTAAGGCCGAGCCCAAGTAATTTATAGGATTTTTTGATGACAGGGCCAATGGAGTAGTATTAACTGTCAATTTGTCTGCAATCAATGAGGAAAGTCTTTAAAAAGAGTGACTAAAATACTGTTAAATACTACAAAAAGTATTGAATAAGTTGTCAATCTATCTGTGTCATGGATCTGTTTGTGACCAACAGGTTCTGCAGAGCTCCTCCTACAGCGGCACACCTGTTGGTCATCATGTGATCAGTCGGTTTCCTGTTAAAAGGACTCCCTGCCTAACCGACCGACCACTCGGTGGCAGGTCGTTGTTTCTGTCAGTGTTTACTGTTGTTGCTTCTGTGCGTTACTGTCATGGATTTTTGTTTGTGTCGCTTTCACCTTATTTTTGCGTCTGCCATGTGTTTTTTGTTTGTTACTTTGGGTTTGTGTTGTTTTCTTAGTGTTTGAGGAAGACATGTTGTCAAGTTAACCCTGTTCGTCCTTCATGCCCGCTTTTTGGGATCCTCCATGCTCATGACAATATGAAATAAATTAGGGAAGTCTTTAATAAGACTGAAATATGTGGGAAACAGCCTGACGCTGAGGCATGTGACACACTTAGGCAGCCTGTTAACGATCGTAGCTTACGCGTACCATTTTAAAATGCTTCCCTCGGCCCTCCAGATTCCCATTCTCTGCCCGTCCCCTCGGTGAATTGTACAAAACAAACCCTGAATGAGAATATTGATAACGATAAAAGATTAGCGCAACAACTCTGATCACAAGCTGCAACTGCAGACTGCTAAGCACTAACAACTTCCGGTGACGCAGTCCCACACCATCGTAGGTTAAATGACCTGCTTTATTTTATTTTATTTTTCAAATACTTTTTGTGAAAATGAATCTGAGAATGATTAGGGTGCAGTGTGCATTAACACAAAAAAATATATTACCAACATGCACAGTGACATAAATGTTATGTTTATTTGTTTTTTTTCCTCTAAACCCCTCGCTATCTACATAATGGGCACCCCCTGGTATACAACATCATTCACATCCATGCATTCATATTGTATCATTCAATATGTTTCAATGTGAAACTTATGTGAATGAGGATGCTTGTGGGCTTTGTCTTCACAAATTTTTATTTAGAAAAATAAGATGCTCCAGTGTTTTGAATTTCAGTCTGTTAAGTTTTTTACATGCTATTTCCCTTGCTGTGGAGAACACATGCTCACATGGCACAGATGAGGCCTGTGTACAGAGGTACTCCTCTGCGAGGTGGGAGAGTTTTGGAAAAGAAGTGTGTTGGTCCTTCCAATACAAGAGCGGGTTTTGATTGTGTGCAATATTCCCCTCTGCCAGGCATCGCTGGACCTCAAAAATAGCATCTGCTGTTGCACCTCTTCCCAGTCTCCCCACCTCATCATCCAGATACTGCCACAGGTCATCTAAAAGCAAAACCCAACAAAATTGGCATTTACAACAGTTTCCAAAAACAAACCAATAATAATGAGCAACATGCCAGATGTAGTTGCAGAGGGCTGCGATGATGGTGCGGGCTGGGCCTCGATTGTGCGCCCGATGACACGCACGCACTCAGACCGCAGTCTGGATATGGCCTCCGTGCACCTGGAGGAACTGCGGAATCCAAGTGATTTGAATCTGGGGTTTAGAAGTGTTGCTAAGGTGAGCACACTCATAGACTCCAGACTGCAAGCAGTCTGTGACTCGACGCTTCAGGTGTTCGTGGAGTTGTAT